ACTGTATCATGACAAGTAGCAGCACTTTAGTTGAAACTGGACAAGATCCTAATCAGGATAGAGATTCTGAGATTGTTTCATGATGGTCAATCGTAAATTGTATTGCAATTGCACATGGCACCTTCAATAATCACCTTCTCCTTGAAGCCTTTGCAAACTTGTATCTATCCTCGATAATGGAAGTTGGCGGTTAATTATGGTAGCATGTCGACAATAGTGTACGCACATCAGCCACATCACACGGCAACGGAATCGATAAAACCAGACATAGAAATCTCGTTCAGTCTTCCTGAGCTGGAGAGCCGAATTACTGAGGCTGTTTGAGGATTCTGAGTCAGACACTAAGCGCTGATCAAAGACAAGAGACCAAGGAGCGGTGATGGTCCCCTTGCATGGTCAAGCATTGCAAAGGTGACACTGCAGCTTGATCACAGAGGGGACTGAAAAGGTCTCACAATGTCCAGCCCACAAGAGCTGTGTACTCCATACAGACTTGTCCAGAATGAATTGCAAATATGTGACATTATTGGTAAAGCAATGAAAAAGCATACTCCAAACTAGACTACTCAGTACTTTGTACAGAAGCGCCTGGTCGGTGACACTGTTATTTATCCGAGATAGTACTTGCTGGTTAGTTTAACATTAATAATAGCGCCAAACCACAACCATTGCCGCTGATTGATTATTTTTTAATTCTTCATGCATTCTGGGCCTCTAGCCAAGACTTTCCGGCTGTTTCTTCCAGCTGCCCTCAAGAAATAAATCAAGAAAGGGATGAAATGCTGGCGGACTTCCGACCACATCCGTCCCGGTCCTTCCTCCATTGACCTTTTTCTCCGCTACTTATCTTTGACGTTGTCCCCAGCTCGCTGTAGGCGCCGCACTGCGGTCTCCTGTTTTCATTAATTTGGTTTCCTTTCCATAACAAACGCCCTCATGCGGTAACGCGCTGCCGTAAAGCTTCCGTTGCGTAGCTTTTTGAAATCACTCCCCGCGCGATGGCGGCCTCCGATCTTATACGCGCCGACGATAGTGGCTCCCCCACTGGCCGATCTCCAGCGCATATGGCGACCACGACAGTCAAGGTGGATGGAATGACATGCGGGGCATGTACTTCCGCTGTTGAAGGTGCCTTCAAGGGTCTGGAAGGTGTAGGAGAGGTGTCAGTCAGCTTGATGATGGGCCGAGCGGTCGTTCATCATGATCCGACCCTAATACCTGCGGAAACAATAGCCGAAAAAATTGAAGACTGTGGTTTTGATGCTGAGATCATCTCCACCGACAGCCCGTCGACACAAGCCGATAGCCCCAGAGATGCGCAGGATCCGACGCCGCGATTTTCGACCACGACGTTGGCGGTGGAAGGGATGACATGTGGTGCCTGTACCTCCGCTGTGGAAGGAGGACTCAAGGAAGTGGAAGGCGTCAGATCGATCAACGTCTCATTGCTATCAGAACGAGCTGTGGTGGAGCATGATGCTTCCGTGATCACGCCTGAACAGCTCGCGGACATTATCGAGGATCGTGGCTTCGGCGCGACGGTGCTGGAAACCTCAACGCCGCAGGACGGCCCTCTGGGCTCGCAGGAGAATTCGGAAGCTAAATCTCGTCTCATGACCACAACCGTCTCTATAGATGGCATGACATGCGGCGCTTGCACATCCAGCGTGCAAAGTGCCTTCGATGGTGTTGATGGTTTGGTCCATTGCAACATCAGCTTACTTGCGGAGCGCGCTATCATCGTCCATGACCCTACCGTTCTCTCACCGCAACAAATCACCACAATTATCGAAGATGCGGGTTTTGATGCAGCTATCATCTCTTCAGAGGCTAGGCTGTCGACGTCTAGCTCTATGAACAATGTAAGCCTAAGTTTACACGGCTTGCGCGATGTAGTCGCGGCAAATGATCTAGAAGACTCCCTTCTCCGGAGACCGGGCGTCTGCTCGGCGTCCATCAATATGGGCACATACAAGCTTGCAGTTTCGTATGATTCCGCGCAAATTGGGATTCGTTCCATTGTCGAGGCGATTGAGGCTGCCGGCTACAATGCCTTGCTCTCTGAGTCGGATGACACCAACGCCCAACTGGAATCTCTTTCCAAAACCAAGGAGGTCCAAGAGTGGCGACGTGCGTTCTTGTACTCTGTCTCATTCGCGGTGCCCGTCTTTGTCATCAACATGTTGCTTCCCATGTATCTACCGATGCTCGACTTCGGCAAGCTCCCATTATGCGCAGGCGTGTACCTGGGGGACGTGCTATGTTTGTTCCTCACCATCCCCGTACAGTTTGGTATTGGAAACCGATTCTACGTGACCAGCTACAAATCACTCAAGCATCGCTCACCGACTATGGATGTTCTTGTCATGATGGGCACGTCTGCGGCTTTCTTCTACAGTGTCTTCATCATGCTTGTGACCATGTTCTCAATGGCTAACAAACGGCCCAGCACCGTCTTTGATACAAGCACCATGCTCATCACCTTCATTACACTCGGACGATGGCTAGAGAACCGGGCTAAAGGTCAAACGTCAGCCGCTCTCTCGCGACTCATGTCCCTGGCTCCGTCTATGACGACAATTTATGATGATCCCATTGCAGCTGAGAAGCTCGCTGAGGAATGGGCAACCGCCAAAGTTTACCCGGATGACAAGAAGCCGGCATCATCAGGCGCGGAAAGATCTGGTCCAGGTCACAGAGTGATCCCAACTGAACTCATTGAAGTAGGCGACATAGTTGTTCTTCACCCTGGTGACAAAGTTTCTGCGGACGGGGTCGTCATTCGAGGTGAAAGTTATGTGGACGAAAGCATGATCACTGGTGAAGCGCTGCCCATCCACAAAAAGAAGGGCAGTACCGTCATTGCCGGAACTGTGAATGGCACTAGTTCGATTGACTTCAAGGTCACCCGAGCCGGCAAGGACACGCAGCTCAGCCAGATTGTGAAATTGGTTCAGGACGCGCAGACAAGCCGGGCTCCTATCCAGCGGATGGCGGATATTGTTGCTGGCTACTTCGTTCCGGCTATCATCAGCCTTGGTCTCATCACGTTCTTTGGCTGGATGTTCATTAGTCACGTTCTGCCCCATCCTCCCAGTATCTTCCTTGCCGAAGGCGGTGGCGGAAAAGTCATGGTTTGCCTGAAGCTTTGCATCTCTGTCATCGTCTTTGCTTGTCCGTGTGCATTGGGCCTCAGCACGCCAACAGCCGTCATGGTTGGTACTGGCGTCGGTGCACAGCAGGGCATTCTAGTCAAGGGTGGTGCTGTGCTTGAAGGCGCGACTAAAGTCAACCATGTTGTCTTTGACAAGACTGGGACCCTGACAACGGGGAAGATGACTGTTGCAGAAGCCAGAATTGAACGTCATTGGGCCTCCAATGAAGGGCGTCATCAACTTTGGTGGTTGATCGTGGGTCTCGCCGAGATGAACAGTGAGCATCCTATCGGCAGGGCCATCTTCTCAGCAGCAAAGGCGGAATCAGGCCATTCCGAGGGCGATGGACTACCAGGCAGCTTGGGTGACTTCAATGCCCATGTTGGCAAGGGGATATCTGCGCTTATTGAGCCCGCGTTCAATGGAGAACGGACAAGGTATCGTGTTGTGATTGGCAACGCCGCTTTCTTGCAGTCTCAAGGTGTATCGATTCCTGAATCTGTTGAAGCTGAAGATCAGCTCACCGCCAGCCCGAAGACTACCGCTGGCATCACGCAGATCCATGTGGCCATCGATAACCGGTTCGCCGGAACTATCTTGCTCCGCGACACTGTGAAACTGACTGCCGTGGCTGCGATCGCTGCTTTGCATCGCATGGGGCTCAAAACTTCGCTCATCACTGGGGATACCCAGTCTGCTGCTTTGTCCATCGCTTCGGCCGTTGGTATACCCTCCGATTCCGTTCACGCCTCTGCCTCCCCGTCAGACAAACAATCCATAATCGCTTCCTTGCAAAAGTCCGGTGACCGCGTCGCCATGGTAGGCGATGGAATCAATGATTCCCCGGCCTTGGCAACTGCATCAATCGGGATTGCTCTTGCTTCGGGAACGGACGTCGCCATGGAAGCCGCCGACATCGTGCTCATGCGGCCGGATGATCTCCTGTCCGTCCCCGCCAGTCTGTCGCTCTCCCGCGCAGTCTTCAGACGCATCAAGCTCAACCTCATGTGGGCCTGCCTCTACAACGTCATCGGCCTTCCGTTCGCCATGGGTCTCTTCCTGCCCTTCGGCGGCTTCATGCTTCCCCCCATGGCCGCGGGCGCGGCAATGGCAGCATCAAGCGTCTCCGTTGTCGTTAGCAGCCTGCTCCTGAAATTCTGGAAACGTCCAAGATGGATGGACGCCGAGAAGCTGGAGAAGGAAGTCCAGCTCGGCGGCGCCAGCATCCACGCCTCCCGGAAGAACTGGTGGGCGGCTGCCCTCTCTGTTTCCGATCCCGGCAGTCGTACAGGCCCAGTGGGGTGGGCCAGGCGGACAAGCGCAAGAGTCTGGTCAACTGTCACGGGACGGAGTCCGCAAACACTAGACACCAACGATGGCTATGTCCCTCTTCAGACGGTAGAGCCTGTCGTTTAATTACCTCTGTTCCTCTTCTTGCATGTTTTTTGGTGCTTTGTCTCATGTGCATTTGTTCATGGCTAGGGTTTGGACGTCTATTGTTACGGCTTTTTAATGATTGGATAGAATATGTGGTTTTCGGGGAGAGGGTTTCAGATGTTCATTGATACCTGTCGTTGAGAGTTCCCGGCGTCTCCATCATCTTTACAACTGCATCGCTAGTTTCATGCAAAATCCAAAGGGTACGAAGCAGTAGTACTTGAAGCCATGGAATAGTCCTAAGCTATGGAATAGTCCTGCAGTCGCACATAGTCAAGTCACTTCATATCATTCATCATTGAAGGCCAATAGTCAATATATGACCTGTAGACTGTCGCTCATAGATTTCCTGATCATCATAATATAAAACAATGCAAGCCCAAGAAACACATTCGACGCAAACAGCGTCTAAACATCTTTATTCTCTGTCGCTTGGGGAGTTTGCTCAGCTTCTGCTGCTGCCGCTGGTGCGGCAGGAGCCGATTGTTCCCCCGCCTCTTTCGCATCGTCAAGCTGGATATCCCCGTCGCCGTCTGCATTTGCCCGAGATGCCGGTTCCTGGTCGCCAATTTGTTCCTGAGTAGTGGTATTAGGTTGTTCGGTCTGCGCCGACGACTGGCTCGCAAGCGCATTTGCGTCACTTGTCAAAGTCATTTCGAGTCCCTTGCCGTCCTGCAGCCCCATATCCTGTACTCCTACTATCGGCGGGCCCCGAGCGTGTGGGATCTCTTCGGACGAATCGGCTGGCGGGGGGCTAGTACCACCCATCGTCTCGTTTTCTGCTGCCGATGCTGAGGATTGGCCCTGTGTTGTCGCAAGCGAAGCGGTGTCGCCCTGAACCTGTTGTTGCACCTGCTCTGATTGTGATGTTTGCGTGACCAACGATAATGAATCACCTGAGACTAGACCTACGAAGAAAGAGTGTTAACAGGAAATAGGTATGAAGACAAGTCACTGAGGGCGTTACCTTCGCTGAGAGAAGCTCCACCGTCGTTGCCCGGGGAAGATGCGCCGGTCAGCCAAGGGATCGGAGTGAGCAAGGCTCCACCCAGGGACTCATCACTCCCCGGGGCATGATCTGGACACATGAAGCTATGCCCTCCTCCATTCAAGACGCCATTGGTCTGGCCAGCGCCAGCTTCCGTTTTAAGTGGAAATACATCAGCGGTACTTGTGACGGAAACAACTCGGTCGACGGCTCGCAGGTACGCAGGGAGGGTTCGATAGTGTGCATTGGGTCGGAGAACTAATTCTGCAAGTCTCTGTATGGTGTGCGGGGGCTTAGATGCGAAAAATGTCTTCAATGTTGACTTGATGGAATCCAGCAAGAACATAAGCGGTGCGGGGAGGGTATCGTTCGAGGAATCGACGAACGACTGTGGTTTGGAGTCTGGCACACGCTCGCTCGATGGAGGTGGAGTGGCAGTTGATGCGGGTATTGTCGACTGTGAGGGATTCTCTATCTCTGTTGGAGGGGTATTCTCTTTGTTGCTGCTCGGTGGCAGTGAGTTGGGTTCTTGCGAGTAAGCAGCGGGAGGGTAAGAAGATGGCTGCTGCTGCGCGACTGGTGATTGGGTTTCGGCGTGGAATTTGGGCATGGGAAACGCGTTGTATACATTCTATTTGTCTGTCAGCCCCCATGTAGAGTGTATCGACGGATGAATAGAGCCTGCGCACATGTTCTAGTCGCTCGAGGAGAGGCTCGATCATGCCGGGCCATTTGTCGCTGGACGGGATGTCAGTACTCGATATAGATACATTGACAGGTCGTTGCCCATACTAATCCATCGAGCCGCCATTGGCGACCGTCTCTAAGCTGTCTTCATCTATAATTGCGCCAATGTCAGCGTAAGATAGCTCTAGCAGCTCATGATGGCAGTCCCAAGCTGTGTGGTCAGGGATATCATTTGCCCATCAACGCAAAGCGCGTTGATGGGCAGATGATCACTTTAAGAGACACAATCTAAATAGCTTACCCAGTGACATTGTGACCCCACGCTTCCTTCTCGTCACTCAGTTGTTGAGGTACGTCCCCAGACGCAAGTTGCTTGCTCTAGGTTAATTAATGCAACTGATTGCTATACGCGTGGGGAGCGGCTCTCCCGGCAGTCGAAGCTGGTGATTGGCTGCAGTAATCGCTTATCGGTGCGTCACGTGATGGTTATCGGGCCAATTTTTCGATGGAGTCACGAATTTCCCCACGGCGGGCAGGAGGGGCCTTGTTTCACTCTCCCCAGACGTTGCAAGCCTTGTGGTCGGGTGAATGACCTTTGAGACAGATCAATTCTAATATCCTAGCTTCCATCGTCGGTCCTGTCAAAATGTGGAACTCTCCAAAGGTGGGAGTCCTCGGTGGAGGTCAATTGGGGCGAATGCTCGTTGAGTCGGCGAACCGACTCAACATCCAGGTCAATGTTCTGGACGCCGATAACTCCCCTGCGAAACAAATCAGTGCCCACGATGGCCATGTAACTGGCTCATTCAAGGAGCGTGAAGCTGTGCGGCAATTGGCGAAGACCTGCGACGTTGTGACGGCCGAGATCGAGCATGTTGATACCTACGCTCTTGAAGAGATCGCCTCGGAGGTCAAGGTTGAGCCCAGCTGGCAAGCGATCCGAACAATCCAGAACAAATTCAACCAGAAGGAACACCTGCGGAAATATGGCATACCAATGGCGGAGCACCGGGAGTTGCTCGAGAACACACCGGCGGAACTCGCCAAGGTCGGCGAGCAGCTTGGCTATCCCTTGATGCTTAAGTCGAAGACTATGGCCTATGACGGACGTGGTTAGTGAACAAGAACAGGACAAGAAAAGGCTGTATAGAACGTTCTTTTGTGGCTGACAATGGGCGCCAGGAAACTTCCGTGTCAATTCCAAGGACGATATCCCTGAGGCCCTTGAAGCGCTCAAGGACCGGCCGTTGTACGCTGAGAAATGGGCCTACTTCAAGATGGTTGGTCTTTCTATTCACTCTATAAGTGACTTCTACCTAATACCGACTCATAGGAATTGGCCGTAATGGTTGTGAAAACCAAGGACGAGGTCCTCTCATACCCCACAGTCGAGACAGTACAAGAAGATTCGATATGCAAGCTCGTCTACGCACCTGCCCGCAACGTCTCCGACACCATCAATCAGAAAGCTCAGGAGCTAGCCCGCAAGGCTGTCGCAGCCTTTGACGGCAAGGGTGTCTTCGGTGTGGAGATGTTCCTCCTCGAAGACAACAGCATCATGCTGTGCGAGATTGCCAGCCGCATCCACAACTCGGGCCACTACACGATTGAAGGATGCGCCCTGTCCCAGTTCGACGCCCACCTCCGTGCCATCCTCGACCTCCCCATTCCCGTACAGAGCCTCGAAATCCGCCAACCGTCCATCATGCTCAACATCATTGGCGGCGCCGCCCCGGACACCCACCTCAAAGCCGCCGAGGCCGCCCTCTCCATCCCCAACGCCAGCATCCACCTCTACAGCAAGGGCGCCGCCAAACCCGGCCGCAAGATGGGCCACATCACCGTCACCGCGCCCACGATGCACGAAGCCGAGAAATACATCCAGCCCCTCATCGACGTCGTCGACGAGATCCGCTCCCAGCGCAGCGACATCAAGACACAGCCCGCCAAGTCCGGCCCGTCGAAGCCCGCCCCCACCGTCGCCGTGATGATGGGCTCCGACAGCGACCTCAAGACCCTCGTTCCGGGCCTCAAGCTCCTCCGTGACTACTTCGGCATCGAGCCCGCCGTCGACATCACCTCCGCCCACCGCACCCCAACATTCATGGCCGAGTACTCGGCCAGCGCGGCCGCGCGCGGCATCAAGGTCATCATCGCCGCTGCGGGCGGCGCCGCCCATCTCCCCGGTATGGCTGCGGCTCACACCGTCCTGCCCGTCATCGGTGTACCGGTCAAGGGCAGCTCGCTGGACGGCGTGGACAGCTTGTATAGCATCGTCCAGATGCCTAGAGGTATGTCATCTTCTTTCATTCCCCCCCCCTTTTTTTTTTTTTTTTTTTTCCGTGAACGGTTCACTAATTTTTCATCACTACAGGTGTCCCCGTCGCGACGGTAGGAATCAACAACAGTATCAACGCTGCCCTCCTGGCGGCTCGTATCCTTGGCGCATTCGACCCTGCGATCCAGCGTAAGGTGGAGGCGTATGCCGAGCAGGCTAGATACGAGAACATGGAGCAGAAGGGGACCAAGATGCAGGAACTCGGATGGGAAAAGTACTTTGAACAGATGTAACAGAATATACTAGCTTACTTGGATTATTGATGAGAATGGCTGAATGACTTTACCGACTTACGGAATATCAAGGAATGACAGAAGAACAAGACAGAATTAGAGATTACGTACTCGGAACTAGTCATACAGATCATAGCGCGGCAGGCACAAGATCATACACAGATACTGCAAGCACAAAACTCAGAAAGGGAAAACATGATATCTCAAGCCAGTACATGCGTCATTAGTCAGGAACAAAGGAAACTTTGGAAGGGACCGGACGGACATCTGTCCTCATAGCTAATTTCGCCTCTAAGCAGTCTGTGGGTTGAAGGCCTCGGGGGTGCCTCGTACCGCAAGCCCCTCGGTAGGAACCTTTACAGCGACCCCATTCGTATAGCCGTTGGTGTGGCCATTTGTGGTCTCGTTGCTGAAGGCGTTGTCCATTTCGTCTGCGAATCCACGCGAGGGATATCCCGAAGTCTTTGGATATCCGTCAGCACCGACCTGACCACCGTCGGTCGCTCGACCATCGGCTCCCTCGGTGGGTCGGCCATCAGGCCTGTCTCTCAGCCGACCCTCTGTCGTCTGGTGAGGCTTGCGTTGGATGGGCGCGAGTTTCGGGATGTCCTTGGACTCAGCGGCACTACCGATAGAGAAAATTGGGGATTCCCAGCGCTCTCCCTTGCGTGCGAGCTCGGTGTAATCGGTAGCCTTGCTGGAGATTCCTCCAGGGAGCTTGATGTCAGGGAACATCGAGTCGTGAAGAGTAGTGACTGTCTGGATCTTGGTATCACGCTGAGCGATTGCTTGAGCCTTTTGCTTCTTCTCGGTCATCTTAGCGCGAGCAGCGTCCAAGTAGCGCGAGTAGATGTTGGGGGCATTTGCAGGATCCTCCTTGGTAGCTTCCTTTGCACGCTGAACCTCTTGGTGGACTTCAAAGGCAAATGCATCACCCTTGACGAAGGCGTCATGGATCTGCTTTTCAAGCACCTTCTCCAGGGTAGGTCGAACAATGTTAAAGAGCATAGGCTTGAATATGGCAAAGAGAATCTTGTGCTTGGACTTCTTCAACTTGATGTCAAGATCGTGAATCTTTACTGTCACCCTGTCCAGTTTGATAAAGTGCTGACGGTCCTCCTGGTGAGCTGTGGAGGCCGCGATCTTGAAACCAAAACCCTCGTTACCGAGGAAGATGTCCATGACACCCTTGTCTGTGATTGAAGGGAATCCCTGCTTCTTCTTGATATAGTAACTGACATCTAGCGAGGAGTTAGTAAGTCATAATCTCATAAGATCGTCCTGTTTCAATATTGAACCTACCTTTGAGATCGGCTTGAATACCCGATACCGAGATCATGATCTGAGCGAGGAATTAGTATGAGCAACAGATATAACCAGATAATTCATCACGAACCTTGTTGTCTCTCTTGTTACTGATGTTCTTCCGGCCCCAGCGGAAATAGTTATCACTACTAAATTCCACGACATTCGGCATCAGATTGTCACTCTCGATGACAAGATTTTCAACAACCTGTGAACATTGCAAGATTAGTTGCCTGGAAGTCTAAAGACAGGATCTTAAAGTAGACTCACCACGTCGGCCATTGGATCGGACACCTCAATGCGAGGCACAGGGACGTAGCGAACGTTCTCAAAGATCGATGGCAAGATGACGTCTCTGATATCCTTAACCAGATGCTTCTTGAAAGCAACATTGCCACTAGCGTCTCGACCGAGGTCATTGAAGAGCTTCTCCAAAGCTGAGCGGAATGCTCGATTCTGAGGGTCTTGATTGAACTGATCGCCCATGAATCTGATCTCATCAAGGATCCGATCAATATGATCCTTGTAGCGGTCGCGCAACAGATAACGACCATGGTCGTACAATCGGTCCCATTCACGGTCGCAATCCTCCTCCATGATGTAGCCTTGCTCCTTCAAGGATTTCCTGTTCGAGTCAGAACCATCCGTGTAGTCTACCTTGGCGGGCCAGGCTTACCTGAGGAAGGTGTCCATGTTCTTGAACCAGCCTCTGAGTTCCGGGTCCCTGTCTGCGTCGCGGTAGACATTGTCGAGGGCATCGAAGAAATCATCCAAGGACGTGCTGTTTGCAAATCGTTCAATGAGAGTCTTGCGAGAATATTAGCTTCACCGTCAGCGCTATTCTTCTGGTCACTCACCCTCAGATTGACTTCCATCGATCTGACTCTCTCGTTGCCACGGAATTCCTTCGTGGATCCGGCACCTTGTTGGGAGATCTCTCTAGTGTGGCGACCGTACTTCTCGGCGAGAGAGAAGAGCGTGTCAACAGCCTGCTGGTCTATTGTAAGGCCGCAATGTTAGTGTCTATCCAAGGCTTCTGATTTCCGAATTGAGCTTACAATCAGGGTGACCCTGGATTTCAATAACCATCTTTTTCAATCGCCAGATAGCTTGCTCGCGTCTCTCCCTAGGCATCTTCTCTGACATGTAGCTACGAGTCCGCTCCTTGAGCTCCTGGGCCCGACTCTTCGATTGCTCAGAGACATCCTCTGGGATCTTCTCTTTGGCCTTCTGGGCTGCCGAACTGACGCCAGCCCGGACATCGACATCAGAAGCAGTGGAAGGGTCCTGGCCACCCGTTGCAGATTGTGTCGCAGTGTTTGCTACGTCACCAGCTTCTTCCTATAAGAGAAGTGAGCATGCGAGCACATAAGCTGTCCGAAGAGGATCTTACCTTGCCTCTCTGAAAGCGAGACTTGAGCTGTTCCTTTGGGATATCAGGCTTCTCATGCCAGACATTCTCCTCAGCGGGTTGGTCGACCTGGGACAGCTGCTCCTGTGAAGGTCGAATCTTTTCGGCAGCTTTTTGTGAGACATCACCAGCCATGTCCCGAGCAATGATTAAAGCATCGCTCACTGTGAAGCGTCAGCACGATACTTACTGGGCACTGACTCCCAAATGACTTCACTTACTGAGCTTTCTGAACTCCCCATTCGTGATCAGGAGAGTCCCCAGGGTTTTTAATCCTTCGACGGCCTTATCTGCGTCCTGCTGGGCTGCTTCTTTGCTCACTGGAACATCTGGCTTTCCTGGTGCTTCGCCAGCGCCAACTTTTTGAGCTTCCCAGACAAACTCTTGCAATACCTGGCCCTCATTTTTGCTGAGGAGGAGTTTCTTAGCTTGATCGATGACCGTTCGGAGATCCTGAACCAGGACCTGGCCCTCGCTGGACAGTTCTTTAGGAGGGGAGGACAGGGCCTTGGAGGTAATGGCACTGTTCAGGGCGACATCACATTGCTTGTTCTAAAGAGGCATTTTGTCAGTATGATGCACGATATACAAGGCTTGGCGCATTTTGAGAGGATGATCCGTGAACTAACCGATGGAAGTTTGCCATTCTTGAAAGCTGTATGAATCTGTTAGCCTGAAATGATTGCTGAAGGATAGGGTGCTCCAATCCTACCTTGATATATCCCGAACAACTGCAGCTTCTGGTTGATGTCCTGGAGCAATATCACCATCAGCGCCCTTCTTTGAAGGTCTATGGTTGCAGCGGTATGCGTACCTTGTCCTTTTGCTTGGGATCGATAGGACGATTGACAGTTCTAGACGGCATGATGAGGTCTGTTGGCACCGCTAATAGATGTCCAGCGATCGATAATGACAATTACACAATGATGAGAAGAAATTATGGGTGCCACAAGAGACCTCGATGGTCACTTGAGAAAGGGATAGATAAGACCCGCTAAGACTTTGAATCGGAGGAGAGAAGAGACAAGCAACAGACAGGAAGATAGATTCAAGTGAACTAGAAGAGAAACAGATAACGAAGATCGCGTCACAGGGGTATCACCGGAATGGAGGACGCGAAGGGCGAGAGGAATGTCTCTAGTTGAGGTATGAAGATCAGTGGTGAGGAAGACAGGACAACTATGAGTTAAGAGTGACCAGGCCAAAAGTTTTTGGAAGTGGGTGGATTATGGTGACCTATTTAAATAGTTTCTAGACGACTGATAAAAAAAAGTTGTTCGTGGGTGACATCTTGATAGGGAGGCTGCAACCCTTCCCTGGATGCTTGACGTCACCGTGTCGTGGTGTGTCTTTTTGCGCTGAGGTTATATCTTAAGGCAAGGCAAGGAGTACCTGAGAGTTACCTAGCTACTACCTTAGGTACCTAGGTACCTTACTCTTGCTTTTGGTTGGGTTCCTGAGCAGGACCGATACGTAAGAGAGGCCTCTGCAAGCATTGTTTTTTCCTTGAAATCTGGTCCAGGATGAGCAGATGAGTTCCGACGAATATGAGCTCATACAAGATCTTGGCTGAAGACGACCAGTCGATGGGAAGAGGCAACTAGGCCCAAGGGGGCAAGACATCATCTGTACTAGGTTATGAACAAGGGCTATTGCCTACTCAACAGAGTTCAAAGCATGACGAAAAGCTTGAGCACTAACATATAGAAATACATGATAGAGCCAGAGTCAACTATCGAGGTTAATTCCACATCTGCATCAGTAACCAAGAACCTCAAGAGGCCCACGGTTTACATACAACCCACAAGGCAGAAACGAAAGTGAAGCCTCCGGGCTCTTGTTGGCTCGATCCGGTTCTTCTAAACTGACTGTAGGGACTTAGCGTACTCCGTACGGAGTACCCACTATTATTGTAGTTGGTCCCAGTAACCTTGAATCCAGAAGTCTTGGCACTGAGCATCGTTTTCGTAGCCACGAAGCAAAGTAGTCTAGAGTTTTGAGGTTGGCAAAAAGAGGAAGTGCGCTGCGAACGATGTGAAATCATAGCTCCATAAGATGGGCTACGTGGTCTATTGCCATCCCGAGCAGGTTTCGATGCGCTGGGAATCCTTCCGCGATGACCTGGTCAAGGTCCAGACAAAGTGAGCTCTTGTGGATCATCAGTCTGACGTCAAGAGTCGATCTGTCCACCATTTCACCACTCCGTAGTCTACAACGCTACATACTATCTACCTCTCCTTATTCAGCCCAATACCTCTCTATCACGGCCAATTGCAGGTGCTTTTCCATCTAATTTTCTGGCTGGAGAAAGTGGGGGGTAGGGGAAAGCATCTGTAAATAGAAGAGATCGAGATAGAAAATATAGCTGTTCCATGTTCCACTTCAACGCCAATCATGCTATCGTCTCAAACGTCCATGCATTTCTATGCCCAAATCCCCCTACACTCTCAAAACAGTCGCAATTCTGCACCTTGGATTAAATGAACACAGGTTATCTCGCACCCAGCTGCTACCATGTTTGTCCTCGACAGAATTCTCTGAAGAACGGCAACAAGTACCTCATTGGATAGGATCACTCGCTTAGCGGACTGGGTCGGAGTCGACCGTCTCGCATCCCAGTATTCAGCTTTTCGACTCGTTCATGGACCATAATGGCCAAGATCATAGCCAGGATATCCACCACCCGCAGATGGGTGCAAGGGTGGTCCGGCCACATAAGGCCCTGCACCTGGTATGTAAATCGCGGGTGACTGCATAAGCCGTTTTCGAGCAGACGCTGAAACTGCCTGGAATGTATCAAGAAGTGTTGCGATACCCCATTTTCTAAGGCAGTACTGGAGAAGATCCTGAGTATAATCCAGGCACACTATCGCGCGTGCGTGACAGTTCACGCGGTCCTTATTGTTGATGATGGGTGGCTCTGGTGTTTCAAAAGGGATGTTGGGAAGCGGTGGCACCGAGGGATTCAAGACGAGTTCTGAATGTCTGTCCAAGAGGTCAAGAAACCGGCTGCTGACCTGGTATGCTCGCTGAATGTCATGATATGTCATCAATGGCAGTAAGCTCGGCGTTTCCAGAATCTGGTGAAGTTTGCGGATGTAATCCATGCAACGCTCGAACAACAGAACCTTCGAATAGTCAGATGTCCCGATAAATCGATGCATGGGCGATAGAATGATGACAGTCGTGTAGAGCGACTCCAGTGTATATAAAATAGTAAAAGGCCCTGCAGTGTTCTGAGGAGCATTGTCGAGCCATTCCTGGGCTTTGTAGCACAGGCTCCAGGTGGAGGTCGGATTTGGGAGGGCTGCCTCGTTCTCGTAGTAGTACTTATTTTGATAGGCAGTGGACATTATTTGCCGAATTTTGACCATATGCCAAGCAGGTTGCGCACTGTGCAAGAAAACATTGCTCGAATCTGCAAGAGCAAAGCCTGGTGCTGTGGTAACTGAGGGTAAAGCGACATTGACAGATTCATCAGAGAAGGAAAGTGTTCTCTCCAACGCGGTGCTTACCCCCCTGTTCTCAGCCAAATCAGTGAAATTGATCTCGTATCAGAATGATGTAGAGGTACAAACCTATCCAAGCAGTAGACGCAATGATAGACGATCCGGCGAACATCTAAACGATCAGGAGTAGACAATACTTCCAAAGGAGGGTCTTGATGCAAGCCTAGATCAATCATTGCTCGGACGGCCGTCCCTACCAGATACCAACTGCGGAAGTGGTTAGGGTCGAGGAAGGAATACTGAGCAAGCAACAGTATCCCTTGAATGCCAACCACGGATCCTGGGCGAAGAACTTCTTCGGCGTATTTCAGCGCCCCAGAAATCAAAGATAACGCCCTTTGATGATCTCCATCGCCAGGCTGATATGATGTCGACGCAGAAGAGGTGGCTAAAACAAGGCGTAAGATCCAATGATCAAATGGCTTGGCGAAACGACCACCAGACTGATATACGGCATCTACAGACGTCCAAAAACTTGTCTCGACAAAGAAAGGCAGCTGTGTGTATAGGTTGTCGAAATAATGGCGCAAAAGGGGTGTTATCTCGTGGCGTGAGGGTAATGGCTGTGGTGATAGTTTCGGGAGCGGCTCGGCAATCGCCAACGATAGCAGAAGATTGGCGAAAGAAGTGCTCGAAGTAATACCATGGAAATCTCGTGAGGTGGCATTGACGGACCTGGAAAAGCTGGTCAGCAGCGAAACAACGAGGGCAATCGAAGATGGACGGACAAAAAGCCGAAATCCCCAACCAGGTCATCAATGTCGGAAACCTCTTTGCGATGTGATTGTGCGACACAATCCGGCGATGAAACTGAAGTGATAGAGCTTTCCCGAACAGTCCCTATCTCATCCGTTGATAAAGATTCCTTGCGATATCGCAGGCTTGCTATCTGTTTTTCAAGTCGCTCACAGTAGCCCTCCAAGGAGGCTACGTAACTCCTCTCTTTTCCTCTAGCAAACTCATCACTGGCACCAGAGCAGGTGCTCGCTTTCCCTACTCTTTCGCACGCGGAGCAGGCAGGAAGCTTCCCATCGCATTTTATTTTCGCGGTTCGGCATCTTGAACAAGCGGCAACCGGCCGACTAACTTTGAGAAGCGGTTTGTCTAGAAATGAGTTTGCCGACATTCTAACATATCCTATTACCTGGGCTGCATGTCAGAAGACTAGTAAATAGGTTGTGACAGAGTATCACACGTCCGGAGACACCAGATACATACCGAACGGCGGACGGACAATCGCTGAGATTCTTCATGTGAAACGCATGTAGCATGTCAGATATAAGGACGGTAGCTCTGAAATGTAGTCTGCGCAAGCAATCAGAAGTCTTGCCTGTAAAGAGCGCGACCAAAAGAGATCAAAATAGCGGCCGATTCACCTACTATCTTAATGATATTTGGGAATAAGGAATTCGAAAGAGATGGCAAAAATACCTCGGAATCGATCTTTATCAGAACGTTTGGCCCGGTGGCCGTATCCTATGGATCTCTTTTGCTTTGTATGACGGTGTACCTTTGTAGTAGCACCCTGATGAGAGACCCAGCAGAAGAGATTATCGATGTCAATATCAAGAAAAGCCGAATACCATATCCTGTAAAATATTAGTGGTATCACCGAAAAATCGCGAAGTTATCGATGGAGAAATAGGTAGCGGATTTGCTCCGCGTCGAAAGTCACTAGTTGGGTAGATACTCTGAGGAGTTAGAAAGGGATAGGTTTAGGCAAGGCAAAGCGGTAAATGGGTTACCTTGACCAAAGGGAAAGTACCTATTGAAGACAACCTAAGTTTATGCCACCAACTGGGTTAGCCTAGCCTGCAGTGGTGTGCATCCAACAAAGCAGCATGACCGTTGTGACACGGGTAAGGCAGTAGTAGTCTCCGTTGTAGATAGTGGAAGTAGTAGATACGGAGTGGAAGAAATCATCATCTGCTGATCTTTCTCCTAGCCTGCTTGACTTGGCTCTTCCTCAAGTTCCTCTTCCGTCGGATTTCCTTTCCCAATTCCCCACCTCTTAAGAACCCCCCCACCTCCCGCACCCTCTCCACCATGCTCAACAGCTGGAATACTCCGTATCGACAATCGAATATAAGAGTAACTGTCCGAGTTTTCCTTCAATGAATACTAAAAGCCACTCGGAGGAGATGATAGAGCATGATTCGGGAGCTTCATCCTGAGCTTCAGAATTCAGATGCATGCCACAGACCAACGCATCAATGCATATACTCGGCCGGGCATCCTCTTCCAGACAGGGCATCCTGTCCCGGATTAGCAATCTTCAACACAGACGGCTGTCATGCCACTGCACTAGCATCCTGGTCCCCTTGACTATGAAGATTGTCGGATGTCCGGAACGAGAGATCAATATCGGGAGCTGGTTTGTGCCCCTTGTCTATAATGCATGGAAGGTGCACTTGAATATGTAACACGCATCTATTATACAGACCTTACGCCTGTCAACTTACATATGAGCTACCAATCTGGGGTTGGGCAGGTTGACATTAGCGATCCAAATCCAGGATCGGTTTCTAAATGTCCTGTACTTTCACAACAACCTTGTTTGACCCTGCAGATCCGGATTTCTGATACTTGAGGGCCTCGATAACAGTTTCAAGTCCTCCATTGCCGATGTTGAGTTATGGGTTAGGCACTAGCTTGCCCAGCTCAAACAACTTGGTCAGAACTGGAATATAGCGGGCCACAGACTCATTGGTCTCCCTAGCGCTATTACTCCCTATAATTCAAAACGGAATACAGTAAGTATGTCTAACCTCGAAGTGCGTGATTTCACCCTTACGAAGGTTATCAGTAATTCGGGCGCCTTCGATTTAATGAAATAACCGTACCCGTCATTTGTGGTAGCGAAAAATTCGGGACCTTTTGGTACCTCTTTGAAAGCAAGGCGAGCAATTTCCATGCCCCGTTGCAGCGGCATCAAGAACATCGTTGAAAGTCTGTTTGCTCTCATTCAAGACTTTGAGAACCTCTGCAACTTGCTCAGTCACTGGAGTCTTATAATCGAAGACTGCGTCTGCACCGGTAGCTTTGACCTTTCAAAACACCGATAATCATGGCATGTAATGACATTCCATCAGTGGAAACCACCACCTCAACGGACTTTGCGCCGCATGAAGCAACCACTTTGTAACCACAGAGTTTCGAAAGCTCGATGCCAAAGCGCCCGACATTGCTCGCCCCTCCCAGAACGACCGCCCATTCATCTTTCAGTACATGCAAGCTTTCAGGGTCTGGAAGTGGGATCTTACAGCCGCCGGGAATTCTAAGAGCGGCGGTCTAAGGCAATCGCTGAATATCGTCTCATTGGAAGGCATGTCTGCCCAGAACTCAAACTTACCTCAACACCAATTCCAATATTGGCTGCTTCAGGGAGGCTGAGATTCTTGGAATTCGGGATCGCCAAACCAGCATCCATGAGGAACTGCGCGTTGTCCGTGTAAGAATTAATGCTCAAGGACATATATGGAGGGCCATAGATCTCACGTATTCCTGGCACGTGGAATATCCCTTCCCACCAAGGCGGGTACATCCACAGACTTCATCATTGATTTGGAATGTTGAAACTGTCGGCTCTCCAACCTTGACAACTACTACTCCAGCAGCACCACAGCCGGGAACGAACGGCCAGTCCTCAACAAAAATTCCCCTGTCAATCATCAGGTGGTCTCTGGAGGGACATGAGTAGGTTAGGAATAAACATAAGCAAGTCACTGGGAAGATGCATTACACTGAATCGATCGCAGTATATAAGGTATTGACTTCACCAGGATCTGGATTGCGCCTGATTCAGAAAGCTCCAAGTCATCTGAGACCTCGAGCAGCGCTTGCTGCTGTTTAGAAAACGCCTTTCATGAAAAACCATCAGAAGAAAAACCAGAGAAAAGTATGATCGCAGCCGCAGCCGCAGCCGCAGTCGCAGTCGCAATGTTAAATGAGAGGGACGGACCTCATACCAATGGAGACATGCAAAAACAGCAGCATGCTTGATATATAGCATGAATTTCCTCCTCAGAGCACCCCCTCCCTCGCATAGCCCACGTCAACGAAAACTGCCTGAGGGCGAATCTAATTAAGTTTCTTGATAGCAAGAGGCATTCCTGCAATGAGCAGTAGGAAGCAGGAAATCAATTAACGGGAGCAATCATCCATTCAGGAATATGGCCTAGTTCATACAGCGCGGCCAACCTCGTATTTGCTGGATTTTGTGTAGATGGGTCTGTGGCGGTTGTCGGAGCTAAGCAATAATTCCTACCTTAATTCCAAATGATAGAAGCTATCCTTATCGACCACCATGGCTATTGGATAGAGATCAAAAAGGCCACCGTCTCTATTGAATGACACGGAGCAGCTCACCCAAATTAGTAAGGCCTCTGGCAACTTGACAGCTACCTTATGGGTGATTGAGTACGGCATAATTGGTCGATTCGGAAACCCTTAGTAAAGAATGTGTTCAAGAGAGGTTACTCCCGTACTTTGCTCTTGAAAATCGACGTCATGATGCCACTAGAGTAGATATATCTTGGACAGTTATGAAATATGAGCATGAGGATTGGGGTCGGGGGAATGGAAATATTCTCCTGCGACTGGTTGGTCTCAAATGGTCGATGTGACCTCCCATAGGTAGAGTCGTTGGCTCATCACTTGACTTAGCGCCTCTGTCAATCTAAGGTAAACGGGATCTGGACCGAGGAGGTACCACCACGCCCCTCCTTTCTTGCATCCAAAGGATCAAATAATGCATACTGTGTCCGCCGAGCTCACAAAATAATAGAAGAATCGCATGCGAGCATTCGAGACGAGTCACGAGTGCTCTGAATTAACGTTCCAGACCGATGGTTTGCTACGGGTGCTGCCGCCTACGCCTCCTTGCAGATGAACCCTGAATATGTCGACCGTGCTCTTTCGTCAATACTATTCTGCCGGTGCTCGAATTATCGATTGTTACCGTGGGTCTAACTCAGACTCAAGAACCCCTCATAAGAGCAGCTCCATGTGAAGGTATGGAAGCTGCATTGCATAGCGCTTTGTGACTCTGATTCCCTTTTGCACGTGCGCGATAACTCGCGGGCTATCTGCCCAAGGAAGAACCATGGCTACACACTCGAGTCCGCTGGCATCACCTCCACAATTTACAAATCCGTGGAAGAAGCCATCCATCAGATCATCACAGCAGGCAGGAGAAGCTCCCGACGGGCGGATTGCGCATACACTGACAGCGTGTACCAGGTGCCGACAGGTATGTTCCTTTTTTCCGTAAATTCATCATCCTTCATCTACCCCACCTGTCGAATCCCTCGTTCCTGAGCTGAGAGTTGCGAAGCGAAAATCTAGGTGCGATCCTGGTATTCCAAGATGTTCCCCATGCGAACGCAGTAACGCCAAGTGCGTATACTACGATTCCGCCCGCAAGTGCACCATACCGAGAACATACATTGTCTCCCTGCGTGAAAAAGCTCGCATGTTAGAGAAAGAATTGGCCGATCTGGAGAAAGATATTCAACATGCTGCGGATGCCGAGCTCATGGTCCGGGGGGCGGGGCGCATCCGATTCAAAGAGAATGATGAGTCGAGGTATCTTGGGCCATCCAGCGGTATCGCAATCACTCGTTTGGTCATGGAGATGGCCAAGCAGAACACAGACTCAAAGAGCATCAAGGATGTTGTTCCTGAGTTCACAGCACAGGAAATCAAAGCAGCATTTGCGCAAGAAAGCTCTAAACCGACATCGAAAGTTTACCCCATGATCAGCTCGATCCCTCAACCTAATTTACCCCCGCGTAATCTGACTTATCGACTGATTGATGTATTTGTAGTCAAGGGTAAGTTCTGCCTCTCTATCTCTCGACAATCCCTGGTGGATCTCGTTTGACCTATCTGCAGCGCAAGCCATGCTACCGACACTGCACGAGCCTTCTTTTCGCCAGGAGGTTGAACAGGTCTTCAATGGCTCTGATGACCCTTGCCTTAATTTTCAACTTCGCATGGTCATTGCCATCAGCATGCAAAAAATGAGCACCGAGTATGCAGGACTGGCTGACAGTTACTACTTGGCGGCACTACCATACTTAGAGGCCTCCCTTAGGCGAATGGATCTTAGGGCTCTGCAATGCCTCGTCCTCATAGCCCAATACTCTCTGCTGACTCCCACAAGAACGGCTGCGTACTGGGTTGTTGGGATGGCGGTCAAACTCTGTCAAGACCTCGGTCTGACCGAAGAAGCGACCGTCACCAAGTCGCCTGATGGGAGGCCATTGAACCCGTTGGAGGTAGACATGCGAAGACGGTTATTCTGGATTGTCACCTCGATGGAACTCGGGCTCTCGCATAGCCTTGGTCGGCCCAGTTGCTATTCTATCCCCCATGATTATATCAACGTCAAATTCTTCGAACTCGTGGACGATCGATACATCACAGCCGATGGAATTCTTCCAGGGGGTACGCCAATCTTAGCCAAGTGCATAGCTATACACTTTTTCAAGATGAGATTGCTACAGTTAGAGATACGGCGGACTCTCTATTTGAACAAGCGTGACACCCCTGCGAATGATCAAGACCCGTGGTTCTCGCAGATGCTAGCCAAGCTTGACCATTGGGTGGCTTCTTGTCCTAAAAACGATGGCGGTAGCGGATTGAGCGAAAAATGGTAAGAAATCAAATCCCAACTTGTTGACTTTGTTGTTGATCACCGACTTTTTCTTTATAGGTTTCATGGCAGACGAAATACGATGATCGTCTTCATGTTCCGACCATCCCCTCAAGTTCCCGAACCCTCTGTTGATGCTGCACGAAAATGCTATGAAGCGTCAGTGTTCAATGTTGCAATGCAACGAGAGCAAATCGCAACTGGGTCTGTTGATTTGACCTGGATTTTCACACAATCGCTCTTTATGGCGCTCAATACCATTCTGTGGTCCCTATCATACCCCGATATTCGAAGGGAGCATCCCATAGAGGAGGTTAGGGCTCATCTCGACGTCGCCTTGGAAGCGATGATGCTTGCTGCAGAGAGGTGGCCCGGGGTTGAATCCGCTTTACTGCTGTACAAAAGTCTTGTGACTGCATGCCTCAAGGCTTATAATACTGACGAATCGTTCGTCGTTCAATCGCCCTCCAACCATGCCACACCGTCATCCACACAGGACGTGACGACTCCTCCTTCCATCTCCAGCCCCTCTAGTACGACAACATCATTCCGAGCTGGAAATCATTCAATTCATGATACCGTGTCAGTCGGCACTGTCTCAAGAGGACAATCCGCGGACCCGACTTTCCCATACTCACAAGCATCTCCGGCGGCAGCCGTGAGAGCCGAGCCACAAAAGCCTCCATCCTACTCACATTGGGAGACTGAATTCCCTTCATTGCAACCCTCTGTCTCGAATTCCGCACGGACCTCATACACACCTCAGGGGTATACCGAATCATCCACCGTATTCTCCGATGCCACTTTCAATCCCACAACACCATTTAATTCTTTTCCTTCAGTAGTCCCGGGGTTGCCGGGTTGGGATCCTAATTTCACTGTTGCCTCGACGACAGCGAGCCATTTGGCCTACGTTGATGCTGTCATTGACCCAATGCGCTGGATGGACACGATCGATGATCAATATTCTCAGTATTTCAATGGAGCTTTTCCCATTCCACCATGGCGAGGAAGGACGCTCAGTCAGCAAGAGCAGATCGAGCTTATGGCATCCTTGGAGGAAAATATCCCCGACGTCTCCGCACAACTTGTGAGAGAGTCGGCCACATTTTACCAGTCATGATCTTCGCGAAACACGTGGTTGAAGATCCCTCATCTCCCAATCTATTTGCGGTATACATGTCTTCATTGTCTACGGATCCAGCTATACCCATCCTGCTCTGTTCGACGTTCTGGAATAATTGTGTTCGGCTTGGTGTTGGGGCAACCACTCACTTCAGATCAATGTCTTTACTATCCTAGATTAACATACAAACATTTGAAACGGTTGACCATCGGTTTGACGGTCATGGACTCTATTGAGCGATAGTGAATCGTTTCAAACCCTTTCATGATTAACATGGGCAATCCTGCCCTAAACCCAACACGTTCGAACAGATTCCACTTGTGGCCAGATATCACATCCACAGATCAATATTACCAGGCTTGCGGACGCATGTTTATGAAAGCAGACAATAACAATGAAAGTACAGGACCCACATGATCTTTTTCAGTAATGCATTGCTCGAAGCACGTACCTACAATCTTCGAGACTTCGCCACCTCGTTTGGAGTTCAGAACTCCGTAGGTTGAGTCCAGTCAATTGAACAATGAACCTACGAGCATTGACTGGGAATCAAGCGTAAAAAGACTCAATGATTGGCATCTATCATCCATAAATAAGCAGTCGTCCACTATCCGTGAAAGGATTGGCTGTGTCTAGGGGATTAAGGCTGTAAAGGTACCAAGATTTTTGACAAAGGATGTTATTTTTCTGATGTACACAGTCTTTCGGTCGACAATCTCTGATGGATGTATACAGGCTTAATGTAACTACTGTTTCAGAAACAAAGAGACATTGTTCTCAAAACACCAGGTCAAGATTAGAGGTTCAACCTGTTTTGCCATTTCCGGACACAGAAGCTCTCTACCTTATCACTGTATGAAGGCGCATTACCCGAAAAGGAAGTAATTAATCCTGGCCCGGCCCAGTCCAAGCGCGAAAAGATACCCGGTCACGTGTGCGCCTGGCCTCTTTGCCGTCATCCAACATCGCCAGAGTCGTTTCTCCTCCATTGAGGATCAAAGGGCATCACTATTCACCACCAGCACCGAACATCGCCTTCCACTTCTGCCTTTTACCTCAAGAAAATATTGATTCCTCGACACTTCAGTTAGATATCGTTGTCATTTGATTGGAATGCGCGGAATTTAGACGGTCGTGGAACGTCCTCCTCCAGCGAACCTCGACCGGCGTGATCACATTCCGCCCCCCCTCACAAAGCCTTGATCTGCCCTAGCTTGCTACCCCCGTATCAAAGATCTTTTGGATAAGATCTTTTCACGGTTGGTCGCAGAGCTCAGGCTGCTTGGGCTTCTTGCCTGTCTCTTGTTCTCGATTCCTCACCTTGGACCCCCATGTCTGATTGCGCCTCATCAGCGTCATTCCGAGCAGGGCCTCCTTCACCATCGTCTCCCGCTTCTGGGTCATTGAAAGAGAACCATCCACCGTATATATCCTCTGAACATTTTCCACAGACTCCGACATCTCCTCCGTTGATGTCGGTAAGCGCTCAGAACTATGCCACCAATATCGCATCCTCCCAACCTCCCGGCCAGGCGACATCACAACCCGCGAACCTTTCATCCCCTCCTTCCTCAGCTCCGATGTCTACGCAGACCTCACAACAACCGACCCTAGGCACAACGAATTCTTTTCCTACTCCGGCCAGCAGCGTGAGCGGCCACTTCACGGGACCGACTCTCGTGGACGATTCAGAGCACCCGGGGACATCATTTGAGCATGTGCAAGCAGACTCAGTCGCAACTACCGCCACTGGCCTACATTCAGCATCTACACAACAGTCACAGCACAGACGGACCGATCACGATCGGGATTTGGGAGGGCCGACTCCAGGGATAGATGTCCGCGATTTTGCAAGCATGGGCGGCCAACATGCGCGCATCGATGCAGATGCCATGGATATTGACAAGGGCGTCATCGCTTCTGCCAAGTCTGATGGACTGAGCTTAGAGTCCCTGCAGCAGGATTTCTCTTCCGCATTCCATCTTTGCAAAAGCTGTAAGGATACCCCAGATGAGTTCTCTATACGGCCATTCCTGCCGTTTCACAATGCACTATGTTCCATATCTTATTGAACTGAGATTTGTTAACACTGTGCTCTATGAAACCCACAGCCCATATTGCGACCGGCCCGGACCCGGCGCTAGATCTCATCTCACTTTACGGTCTAGGTCCGGTTGCGAAATCGGTTGCAAGGATGGATCCTGTCACGGGGGAGAAGATCAACAGGCTCAGGAAGTCTTATGAGGGCAAGCTGAAGGGGTTGGGGCTCGCAGGGAGGAACAAACCTGTGAAGCACGAACCTTCTGCTCCTGGCGGGCTCCGACATCTGACCATATGGCCCGAGGAGGAATGGCAGAATCAGAAGGTTCATGGAAAGGAAATCAAGGTCGCTGATATGGATTCCGCATTACATAACCTTCAGATGAAGGCGATGCACATGGAGCCGGGCACAGTTCCAAACAATGAATACTGGGAGGACGTGTTGGGTCACGAGAAGCCATCGAAACATGCAGGCCATGGGGACGGAAAGAAAGCAGCTGCGCTTCCTAGTAACGCCCGATCGCCTAGCCAAGTGAATGATACACCTCTTTCTACGGAGCCGGAACGGGCTCGCCCTAGTCGCGGGCGCAAGCGGCATTATGACGACAACAGCTTCGTCGGGTATGGCGAAGGCTACGCCGATGACGATGATGACGCCGCATTCTATTCCAACAGTGAAGGGATTGGAAAGAAAAAACGAAAGAAGGTAAGATCACATGCCATTTGGGGTGGGTCATGGACACGACTGATCGTTCTGGTTTTCCAAAGGATCATGTTTCAAAGGTTTCGACTCCGCTGCCCGATAGAGGCGGTAGCTACGGCGTCGGTATGTTTGGCATTGGAGCGAGGTAACCGAACGACCTTGAAGTCAACGGCCTGAAAAGCAATTTTCTATCTAGTGTTTCTCTTCGTGCATAAGGCTTCAAGGTATTCAGACCAGGAGGCGAGGTCTTGGTCTCGACTATCCGTCGCATATGCATGAATATGCACGCGAATGGGAGATATCGCTGTGGTCGGATATCAGGCCGATGACCTTGTCCTCGACCCTTTCATTACTTCTCCGTACATCTTTTTCTTTTTTGCATTACGGTGCTGGATATACCCGGCTTTTCACAATGGGACGGCGTTCGGTGGGGAGCAATAATCAGCTGCGGAAATGGATGCTCTTGTCGCTTTTGAAAGTTCTCATTTCATTACCTCCCATTTTGTGTTTCAGATTCTCTGCTGTATCTTCGATGGATCATTGTTGTCGTTGAATTGTGTCCTTTTTTCGTCGCCGCGGTGGATGACTCTTCGGTCACGGCTCATCAATCATGCTGGAGATATGGCGGTACACTTCTATTTTTCTCTCTTGACGGAACTTGGGGAGGTTGTGTATTCTTTTTCTTTTTTTCCGTCTACGGACAATAGCTAGGGAGGTTTCGCTGGCACAAGGATGCTGCCAATGGGATACATCAACTAGATGAATGCATACGAATGGTTTTGCCTTGGAGGTGAGGCCGAAGCCTCTCTTTACTGATTTTACGTAGTAAGACCTAGTCGAGATATGAAAGCCACCTGCCTCGGAGTATAGTATATAGTCATCTAAAATGTCAGCCTTGGGCTCTCACCCCTCATCAATCGGCGCGAACGCGGGGCAAGATCGATCAATGTGCGATCAAGCGGGGCTGAGAGGAGGACCGATCCCACGGTACAACATATCGCAGGGTTCTTACCTCCAATCTTTGTCAACCACTTTCCAAACCCACCATCGCGTGCAAGGATTGCCTCTCACCTCCAATCAATCATGACAACCACCGCCTCCAGCGACAGACTCACCAGAGCCCTCACACTCATCGACGAAGCCCACGCCCAAGATTCCCGCCGCACCACGGTCGACGACAATGGCACCCAGACCACAATCCCCTACGAGCTCCACTACGCCAACAAAATGACCAAATACCTCCACAAACGCACCGCCAACCCCTCCGAACCCCTCCAACTCGCCATCCGTGCCCAGCATCTCAAACGCTGGGAAGTGCCCCGCGACACTTACCCCGCCACAAAAGCAGGCTACTACGCCTGGCGGACGTACCTCGCGAAACGACAGGCCGAGCTCGCGGAGCGGATCTGTCTGGAGGCAGGGTTTTCGGAGGGCGAGGCGGGGAGGGTCGCGGCGTTGGTGCGCAAGGAGGATCTGAGGAGGGATGAGGAGACGCAGGTGCTGGAGGATGTGGCCTGTCTTGTGTTCTTGGATGATCAGTTTGAGGAGTTTGAGAGGGGGCATGATGAGGAGAAGATTCTGGGGATTTTGAGGAAGACGTGGGGGAAGATGTCGGAGAGGGGGCATGAGTTGGCGTTGGGGATTGAGATGTCGGAGAGGACGAGGGGTTTGGTTGAGAAGGCTCTGAGTGGGTAATGGGTTTTGCGGGAGAGTTTGTTCATAGTGTAAATCAGGTCGAAGATACCCTTGGCTAGGTATGTTTGTGATTTGAGGAAAGTGTATGGAGTCAAGTATCGTACATGTCATCATGAAGTTGAGTGTCTTTCCCATTCCCAGTCCCAAACGCCGCGCTCGGTCTACATGTCCCTGAACTTTTGCTATATAACAGAATCAAAGGTCGTGATATCGTGAAATCAAGCAGAGCCCTGGTCGATAACCCGCACAAGCGCAATAGCAGCTCCAGCCGCTACGCCTCCAACAAAGCACATCTGCACACCACCCTTGATACCCGCAACGATGTTGTCCCTACCGCGCCAACCCCGAACGACACAGGTTTTGATGTACCCAAACGCAAGCAGCGTAACAGCCATAACGCCAATACTCCAGTACAGCGCCACGATGACCTGGTCGACCAGGAAGTAAGGTATGAGCGGGATGAACCCTCCAACGAAATACCCCAGGGCGAGAGTGATGGCGGAGATCCACGCCTGGTTGCAATCAGGCTGGGTCTCCTTGTGGTGGAACGAGACGAGGAAGTCAAGGAGACGATCGTGCGATGCATGCAGCGATGCGTTGATCTGCGAGATGGCGTCTTCCGGTAGACCATAAGCGGAGAATGCATCGTGGACGATGGTGCTGGTTTCACCAGGGGAGGTCTCGATCAACTGTTTTGTTTCACGGACGGTCGCTTGATACGACTCTCTGTACGCTGTCAGTCCTCAAATCACACAAAACCAAGGATGCGAGCGAGAAAACGTACGCTTCACTCTTAGCCCCGACGTATCCACCCAGGCCCATGGAGATGGCACCAGCTGCCAGCTCGGCAAGTCCACCCAGCACGACGACTTTGGTATTTCCCAGCGCAGAGAGACCAGCGCTCAGCGCAAAGGGGACAGTGAGGCCATCGGATAGACCCAGGATGGCATCCGAGATGATGCGTGGGTTGATGCGTGATCGGGAATTAGAGGAATTCGATGAAACGGACTCGGAGTCCGGTTGATTTGTGTTGAAGGTACTATAGGATCTTTGAGCTTCGAGATCTTGGTCCGCATCGCTGCCTATAGTGTCGGAATCGCTTGCTGATAAGAGAGGTTTGCCTGTCGTCCGGTTAGCATTGTATATACTTCGGTAAATAGCTGCGTTCAACAAACCATAGCTATCTGACCGGGGTTGTTGTCCTTTGGTCGGGAAAAGTTTTTGTTTCAGAAATAAAAGCGCCATTTTCAGGAGATAATGAGCGCGACTAGAAATGAGTTGGAGTGTCTGAAGCCCCCCAAAGTGCCCAAATAGGAAGAACAGAAATATTGCAGGCAAATCAGTGGCACTGACGTCAGAGTCAGGGGCCGATTCTAGGCCTTTTCGGAAAAAGGCACACAGAGACAGACTGGACGGGAGTGATAACCACAAGCCACAGCAGACGACTAATACGCTCAATGCCCTTCAAGAAGCGATGTTTACGCCTTTCAAATATCCCAGGACTCTTATAACAAATTCAGATTATGTGCAGCTCCTCTTGCTGATAGATCGAGGGGATCCAGCTTAGTGACAATCCGCCAATCAGCGCCGCCGTAATTGTCAGCAGTCGAAGATCTGCTTCGTAACTTCGCATCTCCCGCAGCTGGTGGTCCGTGTTGGGGTAATTTGCAAAGTCTCATTGGCGAGGGGCTCAAGCAGATGACCTTTGCAGCGTCTATGACTGGTTGTTTGTCTCTAGAAGATTTCAGGCTGCATGCGAATGCGTACTCGAGGACCAGTCTCGATCAACCTTGTGGGTTAGGATATTGCAGTCTCCAGCGGATTTGCTCCGCGTCGAAAGTCCCAAGATTGGAAGAGACATCTACCAAAGAGGGAGTGGTAGGGCTGTCCATGCCTCTGGTCCAAGCTGTGGAAGTCCTCACCGCTGAGAATGAAGCATTACAATTGCGAAATAGGCCTGTCACAGGAATGATGGCAAAATGCCGATGGTTTTCTTGGTAGTCCGTCGAACGGATAATCTGACATTAAGGTATTTTTTCAAGAATTAAACATCACTAAACATTTCAACCAGTACAATATCATCGATAACGAAGCAGAAGCCATGTCCCACCAGTCAAACTCAGTACATCGATCAACCTACAGAGCCAGGGCAAGACCAAGAATTCCAGCAGCACCCGCAAGGCTAGCCGCAATGGCACCAGTGGCAGCAGGAGCAGCGCCATGCGAGCTGGAGCTCGACGCAGAGCCCTGAGAACCAGATCCGTTGGATCCAGACCCAGAGCCAGAGGAGCCCGAGTTCCCGGTGGCCGTTGCTGCGGCAGCAGTCATGGAAGCATAGTTGGTCGAGATCCACTGCTTGACGCTGTTAGGCAGCTTGCTGTACCAGTCAGGGTAGTGACCCTGTTGGATTTCATGGATGAGGGATGAGCGAGCACTGGGGTTGGCCAGCTCAGCCATGTATGAGGAAGGAACAGCAGTGATGAGCACAGAAGCAATGGACGGAGGAGGCATGCCGGCATAGCTGAGGGTGGGCACGGGTGGCATGGAGAAGGAGCCGATATTTCCGAAGTCAGTCGGGATGCCACCCATTTGAGTGTTTGTCGGAGCGTTGCGAACGGCGGTATTGGTTGCGAAACCGCCAAAATCGTCGTTGTTGCTGGTGGCCATGCCGACCCAGTCGGTGTTGGTCAAGTATTGCTCCCAGTTGATGTCAGTCCTGTTGCCGGAAGTTCGGTTAGTATCGTTCAATTTGCTTGCTTCTGAGAATATACACTGACATGCTGTCAAGCTCGTTCATGAGGCTCGAGTAGTAGTCGGACTGTCTCTTGTCAAGATTTTCCGGAGAAGCTTCGGGAGCGCCTTCAGGAACAGCCTCAGGGGCCGCCTCGGGCCTGGCCTCTGGTGCAGCCAGGGCAGTGGCAGTCAGAAGGAGCAAGGAAAGGGTCTTGTAGTGCATGGTGAAAGCTGAAAAGACTGTTGTGCAGAAGGTAAGGATAGTGTGTGATTGATTTATATTAAACAGACTACAGGAAGATGTCCTTTGGAAGATGCCAGTAACGAATGGAGAGAAAAGAGAAGAATACTCAAGTTTGCACCCATCGGTTTAGCCTCATGTGCTGGCGATGCGAGCCTTTTAACTGTCCACGGCCATTTTAGGTTATATTATTAGAATTGGATACGAAACGGATTTTCGAGCCCCAGGCAGATGAACTGCTCCTTCAGGCCTCTCAAACGAAGGACTCCCAACGAGGAGCCTATCATCGTGCTCCGGGACGGTCATTGTAGCCCATGGCCTGACTATCAATGTGGAAAAAGAGTCCATGATGGCTCCAACCGAGTCGAACCGATGTCCTAATTCGGAATCGTGGTTGCCAAACCCTGCATCTGCCTGAGAAAATTGAGCCCTGAAAGTGGGAGCGGCAGCAAATGAACGGATAGGGGTCCAGAAAGAAGTACTTCTCATGGATGATCAGAACGCAAAAAGGACCCTGAGGCTCGTATAGACGGGAAGTTTGGGACGAGACGATCTGACACGAAGAGACGATGTTTGCTTGGCAGGACCTTCCGCGCTAATCACATCGTGAGGAACCGAAGAATACGAGGCACTACCTGAGCAAAGTTTAACCTCAATCAAACTACGATGTTGATCTTTGGTACACTTGAAGACGGTTTCAGCTCCTTGATAGTCTGCTCAATCATATTCTTGAGTTGTCACCAGTCACCAGTCACACCTGGGGGATAATAGGGAATAGACCTCGTGGATCAATGGACATTTGCCTGCCTTTCTCTTTTCTCTTTTCACGGCCTTCTTTCTTTTTTTGTGGCTTGAAGGATCCCGTTCATCTCGCTTCCATACATGGCTCTCCAGATCATCAGAGCCCCGAGATCAATCAGCATAAACCCTCAGTAAGCGAAGCTTGATTGATGTAAAAATACACAGAACACTGATTAGGGTTCAAGGGTGTAGCACTTGCTTTGCTGTCCTCGCTCCTCACAGAAGGTGAGTTTTGATGTTCCTCTCACCCCCGCTTACCGACCAATCACGCCACCGGAATCCCTACCCCAAGAAGGCATATAAACCATTCTAACATCTTCGCAATTGCCTTCGGGCATTTGGTCAATTTGAAACGATACAGAGAAGATTAGCATGGCCCCTGCACTAAGGATGACACGCTCAATCAAAGAGAAGCTACCAGTTTTTTTTTCTACTCTTACAGACCTCATTTCGAGGTAGGAGTGTCAGTCATGTTAATGGAGCATCGCGAGAGGGGCGGTTCGAACCCGAGTGTATTCGCTTTTCTTTTCTTTCTTTTTCTGCACTGGCTATCAACCTCCTCAGCTGTTTAACTACAAGGCAAAAATCAACACACCCCTCCTGCTGAGACCATGAGGATCATTTTACGGCACGTATGACTCGACGCTTAACATACATTCTGATTCATGAAACTATAAATACACGAAGAAGAGATTCCTAATTACCTCATACAGTGTGAGCATCGCCATATGCTTTAAGCACCACCCTCCCTCTTCGCATATTCATCTTCCATACGCTCCTCGTACATCCTCTCGGCCTCCTCCTTGCTCATGGCACGATCGCTCTCCGCGCTCTGCAGGACGTCCGAATTCAGGCCGGACGAATACCCCGGAGCTGTGACCGTGCCGCCGGTGCCTGTACCAAAAACTCGCCCGCTGGCGTTGTCTTCTGTTGTGGCCAGGGCTTCTATTGATGCGTAGCCGGCGGAGCCAGTAGGTCGAGTTCCAGTCGATTGCTCGTTGCGGCCAGTAGAGGGGGGGACTTGGTGAGGCATGTTGAATTTTGTGGAGATTGCTTCGCGGTATAGTAGTCACAGACAGGAGGAAGTAGTATTTCAGACGATCGTAGCCTGTAAGTGTGCGATGATAGACTCAGTAGCTAACAACTATGTGTTTATGTATTTTGCGGTGGATACGGAGTACTGACAGCTGTGGCAACAACGTCATACGGAAAACACTATGTGCTGTGGCTGAGGCCTTCTACTCACCCGCCACTGTGCGGTGTGGCGCAGTTTTTATTCCCAAAGCAAGCTACGAAGGCAGAGATCTATGATACATCCCAAGCGCCAAGCCCGCCTCATAGTCAAGAGTGCAGAATTCTACGGAGTACGTACTTCAAATACGGAGTAGGAACGACAAGTCCAAAATGGCGTCGTGACTGACCACATGACTTCCTCTCTAGATATGTACATGCAACCATGGGTACACATTATGACAAGGCACACCACACTCCCTCCTGTACCAAGACCAGGGTCCGACTCACACACAGCCCGAGAACTACACTACTCAGTAGAAACCGCACCATATCAGACCTCTTCTCCACCCTCGAGCCACTGGCTCAAGAACTGATGAAAAGTATGATATCCACAAGGTGGAAAGTGCCAAAGAATACGCCTGTCAATGACCCGAAGGCCGTTGAACGGACTGTTCCGCCGCGCTGTGCAATGCAGGGACCAATTCGTGGTGGACCGCCTACTTGATCGCAGCCACCCAAACAAGGTAAGTATGAAGAAAAGAAAGAAGAAAAAATTGTAAAAGCGAAGGGGGTCGACGAGACTTATATATGTTGTGGTGGGGAATGTCAAACGCCACTAGCAGCAAGCGAGGTGCTTCTGGTGCGCTCTGATTCGCCACTAATTTGAGGGGCTCCTCATGTGGAGTTCGGCCGTCGAACGACTCACAAAAGTCACGAGTACAACTACAAATCACATGATATGCTTCGACAACATGATATTTAACATATTGTTATGACGACTCGATTTGGTTAAATATCAGGAGGGGATTACTGCGATATAGCTCATAGATGACCACAAAGGATCATTTGGTCCATGCATTAGAGACGGCGCTCGGGCGGTCATAACTGCCCTGAGTAATATATGCACATGCCATGACTAGAAGAGGTGAATAGCTACAAGATAGGCGACATGCTGCGACGTATGGCTATCAAAGCCGTAGTATGACAGCCTCAAAATCCATGCAGACTTTGCAATATCCCACTCCCGGCAGAAACCTCCTACTCCGCACTCAGAGCGAGGCATGCATCGACCGCCAGACCAACTCTGCAGCAACAGCGTTAGCCAATGCTTCTCTGGCTCCGAAGTGGATATCATGGAAAAACCAACCTTCCTTCTTTCATCTTGACGACGTCGTCAATGACGTCGCGATCAAGATTCGGAAACATGTTCGACAGTGTCTCCACCACGTTATTGTGTTCAGCCCGCTGAATTCTTCGCGCCTCCGCATCCTCGGCGCTAGCTTGACGTGCAGCAGCATCTTGTGCATCCAGTACCCTGGCCAACTGCGGCTGTGCTGCATTACGGGGTCCCTCACTACTGCTACGGGGCGGCTGATATACGTTAGGGGAAAGTCGCGGTGGTGCGCCCGGCTGTGGGGTGCCGGCAGGCTGCGTTGGCCGCTCGTTCGGCGAATCTGGCTCGTCCGAAAAGATCCTTCCGATTGTTGATAATGGTTTTTGAATAGTCCGCAATAGTCCTGCTACTGGTGCACTCTCCTCGTCACTCGTTTGCGGCGCCTCTCTCCGCGCCGCTGGTCTTTGTGTGTCGGTTGAAACCCGCGATGGAGCTTGAGAGCTTTCTGCCGTAGGGCGTACTGCTCTTTTTGGTTCGAAAGACTCGGACTCGCGGTTCTGCTCGGCAATAGCAGACACGGCGGCCTCGACGTTACGCTCAAAATCCTCATCACTCACTGTCAGGCTTGTCCGATCCAAGGTCTCAATAAATTGGATAGCACCTGACTGTTTATGAAATCAGCTACGTTTCCTACATTGTTAACAGGTATGTTTGATTGACGTACCAGGGAAGATAGATAGTACCCCGCCTCTCCTCCTAACTTATCTTGATTTCGGAAGCGAAGAATGTACTGGATATTGGAAACCAGATGCTCGGGGCGAGCTTGTAGCACGACGTAGATGAGAAGTGGTACAAATGAATCTGCTGATGTGTCGGCTTGTTTTGAATTTTTCAGCAGGCCTGCAAGAGAAATCGGTGTCAGTACTGTACCTCACACGCTCAAGGATTAATCATTCTGCTGCTCACCGAAGATAACTTTGCAACAATTCAGTATACAAATCACTTTATCACGGGGTGCACGGTAGCCATTGATCTTCAGAAGCTCTACGTTCAGGGTCAGATACAGTCCCAGCATAAACGTACATCGAGACCTACCCTGCTGTGCCAGGTTCAAAAACCGACGGCCGTGAGCGCCCACAGGCGGTATGTCAAGATGCTGCTCTTTTACCCAACTGTAAATCCGCATCTTCTGCGCCAATACATCATCGCGTTCGACATCTTCCTGGTGCTGACCACGCCTCCATGGCCCATGAAGTCGTTCCATTTCTCTTCGTCTGCTTCTGCTTGCGCTCCTCGGGATTGAGGGAGGAGCCGGTATAGCGGGTGAGAAGGTCTGAGAATACAATCGATTCATGACCAGCTTCTCCATACCCTCTTTCGCGTTATCGAATTCGCTGTCGGAAACATCCCGCCAAACCTCGCACATGGCCATCTTATTGGTAATGAAGGTCAAGAAGTCGCTAATGATCTTCACTTGCTCATGTACCATCCACTGTCTTTTGCCAAACTCATTAAGAAATGAGCGGAGAAACTTGGCCACAGGATCTGCAGTGCGGTGCCTGAGCTGTTCCAGAAAACGATGAAAATCGAACGGTTGATCGGGCTCAGGCTCCGGCGGAGGTGGAGGAACCGTCGACGTAGAGGATCGTCGAGTCAGTGTTTGATCTTCGGGAGCTCTATGCGCGCTCTTCGAAATAGGAGCAGGTGGCTTCTCGACAGCCGAGGGTGGTGCCCCTGTATTCAGTTGTGAAGCTTGAGGGCCCCCCTCTACTGGTTTTGAAAGACTCGAATGACGCGGCGGAAAATGGCCCTGACCTCCAAGAAATTGCTCAGCCAGCTCCAAACGAGGAGACATTAACTGCTCCTGGCTAGCCCTGCGCTCAGGGTCCTGAAACTGACCCATGATGCTCTGAATCTCTGACTGAGAGTCATCGTCTCGAGCACCTTCCACGCCAGCGTCTTGTTTATCTTCCTTTTCTCCGTCACCCGGTACATCCGGTAGCTCTTTCTCGGTCAATTCAGAAGTTGCATTCACGGACGTCTGCAGGGGCGGTGCAAGCTGGGATTTCGTGCTAAGATATGATTCATCTTTTTCTGGGAGAGGCGGGGGCACGTCGCTGTCTACTAACGAGCCTATTTCTGTCGTATTCGTCGAGACCGACAACCCTTCCATGCGTGCAGACAACGACCTCTGGGGTTCAGATGTAGATTTCGAGGATTCTGTCGCGAATTTCTCCGGCGTCATGTTCGGCGTGTCGAACGCGGAAACTCGAGATCCATCTTGGGGATTCTCCTTCATTTCACCCAACTGGTCGCCCTGATGTGGATCTTCGTATGTTGCTGAGGGGTCATCATGCGCCAACACGACTGATACGGTGCCCGTCGATGTCACTTGCTGTTGATTCGATTCTATCGGATCGTTGTGAATGTCCGACTGAGAATCCGGTCGTCCATCCGGAGCCGGGGTCGTCGAAATCGCTTGTTCAGACATAAGCAATCTGCATGAACGCCGACGGTCAATGTAGAAGCTCGGTGGGGAAGGAGGGCGATTCAGACGAGGTCACGGATCATTATGAGGAACATCCAGCACAAAGCGGTCAAGCTTAAATGCAGCAAGGAAAAATCATTGGAACATCAATGGGATATTAAAGTCGCAAATGTCTATTTAACCTAGAAGAAAGCATGAAACAACGTCGATCGGATCCATGTTAGGCAGCTTGGATTATTAGGTCGTTATCACCGCCACGAAGCTATGTGGATCATCGTTGCCCCGAGATCCGGCCACAGTGGGAACATAACACCGAGGTTGACTTTCTTCAATCTATCCTTTTTTTGTCCCCCGATCGCCGGAACCAGCATTTCGGTATATTGTACTTGCAGCCATTGTGCTGCAATGTGTGGCATTTATTTCTCATTGAGCACTAATGGATCAGTGCTCCCAAATGAGGAGACTTGCAATCTACTGCGCAACCGGGGACCCGACAGCTACCAAGTCCATACTACACAACAGGAATTGTCTTTGAATCATACCGGCCAGACAGGGGCTGTTTCTGTCACTCTGACATTCATCTCCACCGTGCTTTCATTGAGAGGAGATCATGTCTATGCTCAACCGCTCGTTGATTCGTCTACGCAATCCGTGTTCTGCTGGAATGGCGAGGCCTGGAAGATAGCTGGTGAACCTATCCAAGATAATGATACTGAGTCGATTTTCCAGTTGTTCCTGCGCGCTACCCGTTCATCGTCGGACGCTGTTGATCGGGAAGATCCCGTCCGGCATATTGCGGGTGTCATAAGTAACATTACAGGTCCCTTTTCCTTTGTTTTCTATGATGCAGTGAACTCAAGGCTATATTTCAGTAGGGACTGCCTCGGACGACGGTCATTGTTGCAGGGTCTAGACGAGTCTGGAAGTCTGAGAATTTGCAGTGTCTGCGATAGTTCCTCCTCATCGCATTTTGAGGAAGTTGACACAAATGGCGTGCATTTTATTGACTTTGAACAAGACGTACTGCAGAATGCTCTTGTATCAGGTGCCGTCAAATTCAATCTTGACGCCATCCAAACTCTTCGCTGGGAGCATAAAGATTCAACTACCAGCTGCCTGGTATACACGCCTCTCCTACTCTCAGTCAACACAATCGCTGACAGAAAGGGCAGAGAAGTCCAATATCATACATGAACAAATCTGTGCCGAATGGGACACCCCCATCATTGACAATCGACTCTTGCCCCATCCAAGAGCTTGAGCGAAGACTTCGTCAATCTTTACACCTGAGAATTCAAAAAGTGCCCGATCCACCATCCACCACCATCAGTGATATGAAGGTTGCCGTTTTGTTCTCTGGTGGCCTTGATTGCACTCTACTTGCCAGACTGTCACATGACATACTTCCCAAAAATGAGACGATTGACCTTCTCAACGTTGCTTTCGAAAACCCGCGAGTCGCTGCCGCAGCTGCGGGCAAGGAAGGCGCAACATCATCAGTCTACGAAAGCTGTCCAGATCGCATTACGGGTCGCGCAGCATTCGCAGAACTTCAGAGAGTCTGCCCAGACCGCAACTGGCGCTTCGTCGCTATAGATATACCCTACACCGAGACCGTCGCACACCGTGATATGGTGAAGCGCTTGATGAGGCCTCACAATACAGAGATGGACCTTTCTATCGCGTACGCGCTGTACTTTGCTTCTCGTGCGCGAGGGATCGCGCTCAACAGTCGGGATTCATCATCTGAGCCAACCCAGTACGCCAGCCCAGCGAGGGTCCTTCTTTCCGGCCTGGGAGCAGATGAACTCTTTGCGGGCTACGCGCGACACGGAGTAGCGTTTGCCCGCGACGGTTTCGGGGGTCTCATTGACGAGATCCATCTGGACGTCAGTCGTCTTGGCAAGCGAAATCTCGGTCGCGATGACCGGATCCTTTCAAACTGGGGTCGTGAGGCTCGATACCCGTTCTTAGACGAAGACTTCGTCTCTTACGTGCTCGAGGCCCCCGTATGGGAGAAATGTGGCTTCGGTGTCCCAGAGCCCTCAGAAACCACCGAAGTGGATTATACCGGCATCGACCCAGAGAAGAAAGCGCTCCGCCTTTTGGCCCTCAAGCTGGGCATGGCAAACGTCGCCCGGGAAAAGAAACGAGCAATCCAATTCGGCTCCAGGACAGCGAAGATGGAAAAGGGTAGAACCAAAGGAACCGATGCACTGAGCTGAATACAACAGTCCTGTCCTCAAGCACGCCATTCACCAACCACATTGTAATCCCTGCGCATGACATGACCAGCTATGATGACAAAAACACTGATCAGATACTTCCGAGACCGCCTCTTCTGTCCCTTCTCGACCTTCTCATTGCCCGTCATCCCCCCTATTCGTGCAATCTACCATATAGAGCAGACTCTCCCTCTCTACCGCTCGTTTCATCGCAAGCCACTCACTCCGATATGCAGTCCTTCCGTTGTCCTCATCTCCTTACCCTTGTTCTCAGAATCTGTTGTCTTCACGGTCGGGTAGAAGTACCAATCACTTATCCCACCACTTGTTCGGGTTGGTCCAAGTTCGGGAATGGGGTTGATACTTTTTACTTGATGGTCACGAGGCAGTGAGACCAAGGCCGAGGTTTCGAAGGGAGCAGGTTGGATTGTATATTTGGTTGGGCGTGTTTATGAGAGACGAGATTGGAAGACTGGGAATGTGTCACCGTGTTTCTTGTGGTATGTCGGGGTATGGATGATGCGGCGATGGCAGGTTTCCGAGAATCAAGAGGATTGTGTCGATGACGGGTTAAAAAGGCAAGTCTGAGCTGCGTCAAGCAGGATTAATCATCTCCGTAGTTTTATTAAGAGATTATTCGAATTCGTATGCAGTACAACCACTTTCGTTGTCGGTACTCCGCAGGGAGTAACGTTGGCGAAGATGCTCGCGCTCCGAAAATGGAGGTTACATGGGCTGCGCGAGCTTGACGAGCAAATTACAGCTACGCTGGAAAATTAAGTAGAGAGTGACAGATTTGAATTCGATTTAGTAAAGACAGTCTCTGGTGAAAACGCAGGACATATTGAAACGCAGAAAGCCAAGTCGACGAAACTCGCATTCAGAGAATCGAGCGAACTGACATGGCAAGAGAAAAGCAGAAAGTATTATCTGGCCACGAGTCAATCCTGCTTGACAGGAGACATCAGAACCGACCATCAAGTAGAAGAAACACAGCAAGTAGCACAAGCACCCTAGATGGGGACCAGGATGTCATTAAGAAAACAAAGCAAGCGAAGAATACCCGAAAAGATAGAATGAAACAAGACGGTGTTTCAATTGCCCACCATTCAAGGCATCAAGTAAAAAAAACTTTTATCCTGCCAGAAGCGTCATCGTCAGGTGACCATCCCGCGGAGACTGACTGGTACTCCTGGCATTCGCTTGACGAGGGGCTCGAGCCCCCGCCACCACAGATCCCATTTTGCATGTCCCAATTTTAGAAGCCAACGTACAGAAAAACAGCAAACAAATAAGCAGAAAACACTAACGCAGCATGTCATCAAGATAAGAGATTGATCATGGTTCAACCCCTGTTCTGGGCAAGGGCCTTCCAGTACTGTTCGCGCTGCTGAGCTTCTTCCAGAGACTTCTCGAGTTCACGGATGCGTCGCTCCATCTCATCCTGGCGCTCGAGCTTGCGAGCACGGGACTTACGAGCAGCCTCGGTGTTGCGAGCACGCTTCATCGCGACAGGGTCGCTGGTGTCAACCTTGATAGGGGGCAATGGCTTGCGTTGACGAGCATTGACACCGGCAACCGTGGAGTGCTTAACACCCGACTTGCTTGGTGCAGGAGAAGGAGCTGGCGACGTGGACTTGCGAACCACAGGGGAGGGGGGAACTGAGACCTCCTCTGCGGGCTCAGGCTTGGGCTGGGAGAGAGCGAGCGCAACATCCAAGGCGGCGGAGTCGAAGGCCACGGAGAAGTCTTCTTGAGCAGGGAAGAGCGAACCCCACTCCTCGGAGCCAGGGCCCAGCTCCAGATCGGTGGGGAACATAGGCGAAGTGTCCTGGCTGAAATAACCGGGGGACTCAAAGGAAGGAGTGCTGAGATCAGTGAATGAGGTCGACGGGGGTGCCGACGCATCCATAAACAAGTCCTTGGGCGAGATGGTGCCCGAAGGGGCACCCGCCATAGAGTCCTTGACAGCCATGAGGCCCGTGGGGATCTGATGGGGAGAGAGCATGGTTGGTTCAGTGCTCAGCTCGAAATCATCCCCAAAGTTATTCGAGGGCAGATCGAAAAAATCAGGCATATCTACAGCGGAATTAGACGAAGAAATCCAAGCCAACAGAGTTTCCACCAACTCACCTTGAGCGATGTTAGGGGTCGACATGATGCGGCGGTGATAAAACTGTTGTAATTGCTGGAGCTGTTTTTGACTGAATGGAGCGTTGCCGTTGGTTGCTGAAAACAATGGGACTGGAGGACGATTGGGATTTGGCGAATTCGAAGGTACAGACGCGGCGTGGACACGCTGAAAGTGCGTCCGGCTCGAGGGACTAGACCGAAGAGACGAGGACAGAGGATATCCGGTAGACTGCGAGTGAAGCCTGGTCACACGAGGAACCTGGACAGGCGAACCCGAAAGTTTCTGTTGCTGGAGGTGCTGATACAGACTGAGCGAGTGCCGTCTGGGCTGCTGGTACTGAGATCGGACCAGGAAAGAATGGTATGAAGCAGATCTAGGGGCTGTACTCGAAAGTACTGGCGCACGCGAGTCTCTCACAAGAGGCTGCGGACACGGGGCGGGATAGAGCACAAAGTCCTCCTGCGGGGAACTGTTGTTGTTGTTGTTGTTGTTGTTGTTGTCGCTGGAGTTCGAATTCAGATTCTGAGCCGTAGGCTGCTGGGGCGGGGGCGTGGGGAGCCATGTTTGCTGATGGTTATCCGTGGTGAACGACGTGACGTCGAACGGGAGAATGGTGTTAAAAGAAGAACTTGAGCTACGCGAAG